TCAGCAGAGTTTTTTGGAATCAAATAAATACACTTGGAAAAAATGACATGTATTTATAGCACTAATCTATGATGTTGGGGTTGGGAATAATAGGGGCTATTTCTATTTCTAGAAGTTGAGTGACCAGTACATATATCGGGCAGCCTAGATAATGGATTTACTTAAAGACGCTGACTATGATCATTTTTCTCCTATTGGTGTTGAAAGTTGATTGATTTGGCTGTTCACTGCAGGCTCAAATTACTAGAAGCTCCTTGGGCGATTTTTCTTTCCGATCCCCTGATGTTAATACTGTCAACGCATTAATCATCGTAATTAATAGTCATCTATAGGTTTTAGACCTCCAGCCTCAACGAAGGCTCCGGGCATCTTCCTCAAGCATGGCTGATCAGTGAGCAGATGGTGAGAGGGCCCGTGTTTGTCCCTTCATTTGGGAGGCAAGGGGAAAAGATGGGCCTAAGAGCCTCTTGGAATGAGGTGGGAGGGAAGCTGTAGATGAGAGACTCATCGGTCACATTGTAGAAGGCTATGTGTCCACATTCATAGTCTAAGAAAACACCAACTTTGTGCACAGGCTCTCGGACATGTTGACCTTTTAAAGGTGATGAGACCCAAAGACTATAATCGTCTCCAATTTTTAAGCCAATCAGTGAGAAGAGGTCCCCGGGCGGCTTCGGGAGGTTCCCCTTCCGGCTCAGCGAGTCCTTGCAGACGCCCACTTCCCACTCAGTCTTGTTTCCCACGTCCACCTCCCAGTAGTGCCTCCCGCAGGTGAAGGCCTGAGCTCCCAAAACCGTTGCGGACTGGTCAAATCGTTCCGGGTTGTCAGGTAACTGCTGTCGGATTCCGCCATGTCTCACACTCCTCAGGTCCTCAGACAAGACTAGGTAGGCATTGGCTGTGGCTGGATCCAGACTTATGTCTGCTGCAGGAAGAGACAAGGATGAATTCTGTGCAGTCTCAGAAACCCTCTTACATATATGGAGTGTAGAGATTTAGTATTCAGTTTGATTTTTTTATGACATAATTTGAGTACAGTGGGATTTTTGTTTTATTTACAGCAGAATCTCTAGCCCTTGGGTCATTGTTTTGCCACACAGAGGGTGAACTTGTTTTTTAGATTAAAGCTTGTTTTTTTTTAATTCTGAATGTTTGGGATTTAGAAAACAAAATGAAAAGGTTTTTTGTAATAGTAATATTAATGAAAACATACACAAAATTGGAGAAAGAGTATACCCCAGATAGTGAACTTCTAAAAGGAAAGAGAAGAAGGCCTCCCTGGTAGCCTAGGGCTTACGGCTCAGTGCTATCACTACCACTGCCTGAGTTTCATCCCCAGTCAAGGAGCTAACTCACATAAGGTGTAGCAGACCACGCCAGTCTCACCCACTGCTCCCCTCAGCAGTGTATTTCAGTACATCTAACTATTCTGATCCCCATTCTTGTCGCTGTTGAATCCTCTAACCCTCTACACCTCTGGCCAAAACCCAGTTCTTCTATGCAAGGGAAAAAAAAAAAAACTTTAAAAAAAGGATACAGAAAAGAATTGTGTGGGGAGTGAGCTTGAGCCTGGAGAGGAGGCAGGGGAATCTCAGATAATGGAAATTGTTCTGTTTACAAGCCCATTTAGAACTCAGCGATTTATCCACTCAGGGAGTAGCCTTTGCTGTTTACATTCAAGATTGGTTCTGGTTCTTCAGCTTGAGTGGGAGTCGGCAGTTACCATTTACTGAAATGCTTTGGTATCAAGTATTTTCTGTAAATTATCTCATTTAATCATGTCAGGCATTATTTTTTTAAAAAAGAAAACAGGTTCAGAAAGATGTCAAAAGATGACTAAGATGTCAGAGTTACTGACTATCTGAGTAGCAATTTGTAATCAGTCTTTTGCATGATGTCTTGGCTGATGAAGCCACCAGTGACTTGATGAAGGGTTGTGGGCCAATGAGACCCTCCTCACCCATCCACCTAAGAGGACATCACAGACAAAGCCGCCAACTTTCATTTCCTTTCTGTGTGAGATGACGTATCCCTAGCATATAATTTCATGGCTTTTTAAAAAAGACCAATTTCCTACTATAACTAATTGTCTGTGTGAATAATGTTTCTTGAATTTGTTGAAAAGATCCACAAATGCAAAGACAGTATCGTCACTGTAAATATATGCACAGTGCCTAATAAAATAACACCACACACACTAACAGCCACTTTTCAAGTATCTCTTGAATCCAAAGTCCATTAGACCTTCCACTGTATACTTGACTGCCGAAAAGATAAAAGTTGAGAACTAAAGTTGACCTGTCATTCAAAGGATAATTCTTTGAGTTCTCTCTCTGGGACTTAAGAGTTCAAGTCAGTTTTTATCTTGACAAGAACAGAGGTAGAAATGCAGAAACCCCTGCAGGAGGTGTGTGTGTGTGTGTGTGTGTGTGTGTAAAAGAGAGAGAAAAATAATACAGAATAAAATCACATATCAAAGACCAGGGCTCTTTAGACAGAAAGCAATGCCAGATCAAAGGTCAGTCAACCCACTGCTTGCTTCTGCTCCAGCACAGGGCGGGCCAGGCCTGAGCCTTCCCTGGTGTTCAGTGCTGGCTCAAAATACCTTAACTGAGAGCCTGACACCTGGCTGGTATATATTCTATGTTATGAAAACCTGCCAAAGGCACAGTTTTGCATCCTGATATACAGTGTTGTTAATGCTGGAAATCCCCGAAGCTGTGACAGATGGGGCTGACTTACTGCTAAATTTTCTTAGCATCTCCCTCATTCCAGTGATGCGGCACAGACTCAGTCTTGTGGTGGTGGCCTCCGGACACTGAAGCAAGAGGGCTTCACTCCTGCAAGAAGCAAAAACTGTCACTGTCTCCTCACACCGATGGCATAGCTTGCTCTGGTGCTGGGGTCCTCCTCATTT